TGGGGCAGCTCTGCCTCTGATTTTAAGTTATATTAAACTCTGCTTAGGGCTTTGACGGAACAGTTTAAACAAGCACACCTGACCTGGATTACTCACTTGTAGCTGAGAATACTTAAATGTTCCAGTGTACGGATCTGGGGCCTAATCTAGGTTTCTAAATACTGTTATTTAACAAAAGAACCATAGCATCTTGGAGAAGTAATGGTAGTAAGGGTAGGACAGAGAAGATACAAGATGAGCTTGGGTAATCTTCTGGTGTCCAGGGATACAGAAATATTTAAAACTAAATTTTAAAAGGCATGTTAAATGAAGCAGGTTGGAAAGACATAAGCATTAGCCAAAGCTGGAACAATTAGAATATCAGAGTCAATAACAGCGGTATTCTGCTGTAGCTCAGAGTCAAATATTTACAAGGGAATGATACAGCGGTTACCATTCTTCATCACAGAGGAATTGCAATTAATGAGGTGATAGATTTAATTAGTGAGATTTGGCCATTGAACAATGCAAACATACCAGAATACCACATTGTAGTCCATAAATATATATTATTTTATATTTGTCATTTTAAAAGTGAGATTTAGGGCCAGCAAGATGGCTCACCATGGATAATGGGGCTTTCTGACAAGCCTGATGACCTGAGTTGAACCCCTGGAATCCACACGGTAGAAGGAAAGTCCAACAGGTTGTGTCTGACATCCACATCTGTGCCATGGCATGCACGTGCCTCCACATATAATCAAACAAATATTTTGAAATAAAATTTTAAAAATAGAAATGAGGCCAGGCTAGAAAGGAAACATTTTCCCCCTTAATCCTCTGATCTGACATGGCCTGAAATCTAAGTCTGGGTCAGAGAGAGCAGTGCCCACATGATTGTTCCCTACTTGTTGCCCAGAGCTGGTGATGATGGAGTCTGTAACTATTCCGAGTTGTGAGACTTTGCTCTGGGCTGTCTCCAGTGGCTCACAACACACACATACAGCATTCATGTGTGTAGTGAAGAGATAAGAGAAGTGGGTAGGATGATGAAATGGGAACTCAGTAGGGCCCTGTGTCTGTAGGTCCCACATCCTGGGATCTAACCAAGCACATATGGAAAATATTGCTCACAGGTGTATGTAGATAGGCCTAGGCAGGTTACAGCTCTGCTACACTTGTGCCGAGTTGTGTTGTTGCTTGGTGATGGTGGTTTTACCATTATACCCTAAGCAATTAAATATAGCAACTATTTAGATTGCCTCTGTACTGTATTAGGTACATATATAATCCAGAGATGATTTCAAGTGTGTAGGAGGAGGTGTGGGGGTTGTATGCAAATACTGCCCCATTTTATATAAGGGACCTGAACATTCATATTTTGGTACCCACTGTGGGTACCAAACCCACAGAGGTACTAAAGGGCAGTTGTATAGTCCATTCTGTTTTAGTAAATGGTAATCAGAAATCCTGAATGTTCCTGTTTCATCTACATGCTCACCCTTTACCTCATTCACTGTATGCCATTTACAGAAAGCAATAGGCTATGAATGAAGAAGAGTATCCAGATTTCTATGAAGAAATATAAATGACTTTTTAAAATGCCTTTTTATTTCCAATTCTTTGGTTTTTCAAGACAGAGTGTCTCTGAGTAACAGTCTTGGCTGTCCTGGAACTCACTTTGTAGACCAGGCTGGCCTTGAACTCACTGAGATCTACCTGCCTCTGCCTCCCAAATGCTGGGATTAAAGGCGTGCGCTGCCGACGCCGCCGACGCCACCGCCGACGCCGACGCCACCACCTGGCTCCTTGCCATTTCTTTAACCTGGCAGTTATAACTTGGTCACAAATAGCGACAATCATTGTGTCAGGGAAGGACACAAGGATGTATTTAAACCTGGTTTCTGGTCCATGTCTGCAGTGCAATAGCCAGCCACATCATCTCTCACAAGTGCTTAACTTTCTCCTGAAGTAAGTCTTCCACATTGCTTTACTAAAGACTCCTCGATGGGCTGGAGAGATGGCTCAGAGGATAGGAGCACTGGCTGTTCTTCCAGAGGTCCTGAGTTCAATTCCCAGCAACCACACAGTGGCTCACAACCATCTGTAATGAGATCTGGTGCCCTCTTCTGGCCTGCAGGAATACATGCAGGCAAAACACTGTATATGTAATAAATAAATAAATGTTAACAAAAAAGAAATTACATTAAAAAAAAAAAAAGACGACTCGAAGAGCTTAGATTACCACGTAACGTGATGAAGCCCCTTTAAAAGACATGAAGACATTACCTGTAGCTTTTCTTGCATGCATGAGGCCGTCACTGACACTGAGTACACACTGTTTCAGTTACAATATATACTTTTTCTATTTAAATCTTAACACACTTAGCAGGTTACCAAAAATACAATTTTGGAAGTGCTCTGGCCAAGGTTCTCAGATGTGGACAAGTATAGTTCTGTGATAGCATAGTGAGCCTGGCTCCCATTTAATGTGGCTCTAATTGTTCTTCAGAATCAAATACCTAGAAAACATAAGCATCCATTTAATTCCACCTTCTTGTGACTGAACAGGATGCTTTATCTGCCCAATCCGTAAAAATTATGTTGGACAGGACCAACCTAGACATGGTGATTCTTCCTCAGTTCTTACTGTCTTGCTAAGAAATGTACCAATCGAATAGCCTTAAGAACACAGGGCAAGCTGTCTTCCCAACAGGCTTGTGTCCTCCCTCCTTAGAGATGATGTTACCGGGGTGTGTGGAAGTTCCAAATGAAGCACTTTGTCTGGCTCTTTGAGACGTTGAAATTTTTATCATGGAGAGTATCTTCAGTTGACATATACTGAAAAACTCACCTTGCCATTGTGGTTTAAAATGCACTCATCACTGTGCCTACCTCAGGCTCTCCAATCATCTGTTCTAGACTTTGGTCGTGTCTTTCTACAAGAAATTAACCTTTTCCTCTTAAAGTAGATTTAAGTATCTAAGTCTTTTTTTGTTTGTTTGGTTGGTTTGGTTTTTCGAGACAGGGTCTCTCCATGTAGTTTTGGTGCCTGTCCTGGATCTCGATCTGTAGACCAGGCTGGGCTCGAACTCACAGAGATCCACTTGGCTCTGCCTCCTGAGTGCTGGGATTAAAGGTGTGCACCACCACCGCCCAGCTAAGTATCTCATTCTTAACTCATTCTAGAATATAGTTTTTCTAAAAGATTAGAACTACCTTTATGCATGAGTTATCAGGTGGCAGGAGTGGCTAGTCATTGAGTTCAGTACAGAAGAAAAAAATCTCTGGGATGGTGTTACATTGTAAAGCTGCATATGATTGGCACCCCGTCCTTATATGGCCCACAGGCATGGGCTAAGGCTTTTTCCCAGACACACTGTCTTTCTCTCCTGAGCCTTAATCTCCTGCTGGTTTTTCTACTCCTGTGTCGTTCCTCGTGACATTCTCTGGAAGGCAATAATGATAACAGTGGTCTCACAGAAGCAGTGCTGACATTTCTTTAATCATTACTCCTCACTGCATCTCATCTTATCTGGGAGGTCGATTATTCTCACTGGTATGCATTTGGAAACCTAAGCTTCAAAGAAGTAAAATACCTTTCCTCTGACACTGGAGTTAGAAAGAGACAAACTGAATTTGTTCTGGTTCTCCCTAACGTGGTAGTTATTATTCTCTTCCATGAAGCAGCTATGACATGGCTACAGTCATTCCTCTGCCTGATGCCTACCTGTCTTATGTCAGCAGGCTGAGAGACTATTTCCCTAAGTTACTAATGTGTGTTGTCTCAAGGCACAAACAAAGCAGGAGTTTACATTAGCACATTGGTCCCTCTTAACAGCTGCCATCTGGGTATGTTTGTTATTACAGCTTCACAGGTGGGGAAACTCAGGTTCACAGGTTCTGACCCTGGTCCCAAAGCCAGTCTCCAGCAGTGGAGACTGAATCCACTCTTCTTTGAGTCTTCGCTTAAGCCCCCTGTGAATGCAGTGCCTTGCATATACTAGTAGAGAGCCAGATCCTCTCAGTGTGAAGACTCAAAGCGCAAGAGTATGGGCCTAACTTGTACGACAGTAGGAATTTGTTTCTTGAGTCTTTTAAAAGGGTGAACAAACATCTGTGGCAAAGGACCCTGAAAACGTGTGTGCATGTGCATATTGAAAGCATCGAGTACATTGTTGGCAGAGTGCATTCTGGGTATCCAAACTGTAGATTCAGTGTGACTAAGATTATAAGGGGAAAGGCGTACAATTGTTCTGAAGTATAATGCCACTGCATTCTAGAAATGAACATATAAGTGATAGTGGTGATGGGTGGCTCGTGGCCAGGTCATATGCTATCACTTGTTAATAATGAGATATTCAGATGCATATCTGCCTATAGTAGGATATACAGATCAATGTTTAAAGAGTTATTACTTAAAAATTCTCAGTTGCCTCAAAAGCTGGTATATGTTGCTACTTAGTTGGGTTTTACTCATTCAACTCTTATAGACTATAGAATTAAAAGTCCATTAGTAATCATCAAGTAACCAAGTAACTTGCATTCTACAATAATCAAATTTTGTATTTTGATTGTGGTTGTCCACACAAATAGAACTTTCAGCCAAAAAAGAAAAAAAGGCATGGTTTAAGAACTGGGTTTATTGGCTCACATCTACAGATAAGCCCAGCATTTGGGAAAGCAAAGCAGGAAAAGGATGAGTGAGTTCAAAGCCAGCCCAGGCCACACAGTGAGATCTTGTGTCTAAACAACAACAAAAACCATGGTTTAAAGTCATCTTCCTATCTCTCACATGTTCTGTTTGAGTGGAGAACTCAATTTACATATGCATTTATTCAGCAATGTTCATTATTTTAGTTTATCATTGTGATAATTACTAGGGAAATACTACAAGGTAGATTTTACCCTCACCTTTATATATTAGATCATAGTAGTCCCACTTTATAAAATTGTTTACTGAGAAATGCAGTGTAGTTTGGGAGCAGAAATGAAAGTAACATTTATTTCTATCCCAATAGATTTCGGTTTTGGAAATTTCTTTAAAACTGGTGAACTGCTGGCAACATGGTGTGGCAGCCCCCCTTATGCGGCCCCAGAAGTCTTTGAAGGGCAGCAATATGAAGGACCACAGCTGGACATATGGGTATTGCTTTGCTTTGATATGTTAAATGTATCTATCATGATAACTGGTACTCAGACCTACCTTAGAAGTTCCTGGTACTCAATATATGAATAAGATTTCATATTCTCCCCATCCAATGGACTGTAATTAGTCAGAGCATCTGGAAATGGATTCCCTATGAAAGAATTTCTAGAGACAAGTGTTGTCATACTGGCAGCAATGATTTGAAGTAAAATATTGAGCAAAATGATAAAATTCAGATCATTTGGTATTTATTATGCTTACTCTCACCACAGGAGGTGAGATGGGGATTCTCGACAGGAGTCCATGTGACTTTAAGAGCTGTGGCAGTGTTTGGGAAATCAATGTTTGAAGTTCTCTCTGAAAGTGACTGCATCGTTCTCTTCCCTAGAGCATGGGAGTTGTTCTTTATGTCCTTGTCTGTGGAGCTCTGCCTTTTGATGGACCAACTCTCCCTATTTTGAGGCAGAGGGTTTTGGAAGGAAGATTCCGGATTCCATATTTCATGTCAGAAGGTAACAAACTGTTCATCATATTAGTTGTGCATTACAGAGTTTGTGCTGTATGAAGTCCTAGCCAAAGTATCCCTTCTGAGAGTTTGGGTACCAGAGAAAATGACTGAGTCATTTTAAAAACCATGGGGCTCTGCAGCACCCTCCATGTCGACCAGACAAGCTCCAGCCTTCCTCCTTGTAACTGAGAACAGAAGCTACCCAGATTAAGAGCAGCAAGTCTTCCCATTCAGCTTGGGTCTATAAATGTCCTGGTTTATTTTAGACTCCATAGATACAGGCTTACAACTATTTTACTCTATGTATGAAATAGATATGCAAAATTACAAGTTTTTAAATTCAAAGTCAACTGATGGGACTTTGATAAATTCAATTCAAATTTGATAAATGCCACGATCCCTGTCTTATTTTGGGCTGTCATACAGACAACAGTTTGATTTACTCCTTATTTGTGTCTTTAGTTTTCATCCTTATCTCTTACTCCTGCAAACAGTAGACGTAATTAATGCACTTGGAAAGGCAAGATAACCTAGGCTCTGGAGATATACTGCCTCATTGGAATCGTGAGTTCACGACTCACTGGCTGTGCAGTTCTCACTCATCTGTAAAGTGGTGTTAGCAATAATAGTTCCTACCCTGGAGGTGTTGTAAGGATGATGAAATTACTCTGCACAAAGCACTTAGCAAGGGGTCTGATGGATGGGAGTGGCAGGAGGCTGAGTTGGAGGAGGGTGGTGAAGAGCCTGCTGTCACTCAGAGCTGCAGCTGCATTGTATGTAGTGTAACGGAAGCAGAGCTTCATACTTAGTCCTTGGCAGCACAGATGAGAAAAGCAGCAGCTCCCTGAAAAAGCACGGCACTCTCCCAGCTGCCTTTACTGAACATACCTCGATACGACCGAGGATCAGTTCATAATACTTGTTCTGAGAATGAAGCTTAGGATTGTTTTTCGTTGGTGGAAATCTAAGTGTGACTAGATAAAATGCACTACACTAGAGAGGCTCTATTCGCACACAGACAGACTTGTACTCACCTGTGTTTGTTTGCTCAGCATCCGAACTTAACCAGTCTACCCCTCATGTATTCATTTGCGCATTGGTCCTGCTTTCTAGTGAAGAATACATAGATTAACATTGTTGTGCAAAGTTACATGAGTCGTGCAAGTATACCTGAAGGTGATCTATGTGACTTTTTAACGTTGTGCTTTCCACAGAGTGTGAACACCTTATTAGAAGGATGTTGGTCCTAGATCCTTCCAAACGGCTAAGCATAGCTCAAATCAAGGAGCACAAGTGGATGCTCATAGAAGTTCCTGTACAAAGACCTATTCTCTATCCACAAGAACAAGAAAATGAGCCGTCCATTGGAGAATTTAATGAGCAGGTTCTGCGATTGATGCACAGCCTTGGAATTGATCAGCAGAAAACTATTGAGGTAAAATGATGGAGATGTGTCTAGAGGTATTTTAGGGTTCTTCTGCATCTGTCACTTGAAGCTCTGGGCTCACACCTGTCACCCTAGTCTTTCAGCACATTCCAATGCCTGGGTGTACTGCTCAGGGTTTCCTGATGATTACATCAGGCTCTGTTTATAGTTGCTGTTATTCAATCTCGAAACTCCTCCCTTCACCCTCTCTGCCAAAAAGTCCAAGAACAGAATTTTTAGAGGATCCAGAAAAGGCCAAGACTGAAGCTTAAAAATACAAGATGGAGGAGGCTGGGCATGGTGTTGTGCACCTTTTATCCCAACAGTCTGAGGCAGGCAGATCTCTGTGGGTTTAAGGACAGTCAGAGTTACATAGTGAGACCCTATCTCCAAAGAATACAATGTTTCTTCAAAAATGAAACATGAAATTTCATGTTGGTATGAAACTAGTTTATAGGGACTGTAAATGTACATATATGGAATAAAGACTAAGGGCTGAGCCAAGAGCCAATAGGAAAGCATCAGATTAAAGACAGCCAGTGGGGGGTAGGAGAACCAAAGACACTAAACAGGCTGACGCAAGTGAGCTTATGATTTGGAAATATTAATGGTTATAGAACAAAGAACGCTTTGAACCTGGAAATTTATTCTTGGCTGTTTTTTGGGTTTTTTTCTGTCTAATAGTTAGCATGCCTATAGAACATACGCAGTACCTGCACAGCAGCCCCCGCAAAGCAGAGCGGTGCCTTTGTGGAGACTGTGTCTTGTCTCCTGTTGTAGCCATGAGCAAAACCAAACCTGCCGTCTCACTTTGTGCATTGTGCACTCAGCGATGTTTCCCATGCTTATCCATGGAGTAGATCCTGGATGGCAGCTTCTGTGAGGTCCCTCTGGCCTGTGGGTTTTTGTTTGCCCTGATGGTGTCCTGGATCCATGTTACCCCATACAGCACCCATGTGGATTGTCAGGTGGGATTAGAAGCCAAAAGAGAGGTTGTTCCTCTGTTGCATTGGCATCCCAGGAAAGCTGGCAGGCTAGTGATGTGAGACATTTGGGAAGCAAGTTTGTTTTCAAGGTTTCCAAAGGGTGGGACTGCAAAAACAAGAGGAAAATATTACCTAAGAACACAGACACAGTGTCTCTCCATCTAGCATCCAGATGTCATTCTCCAGCCCAAAATAATCACCAGAAAGCTCTGCAAAGGCTTTGCTCCTTCACTTCAGAGTTGTCAGTGATTTGAACTTTGCCTGAAGCTAGAGTTAGAACTTTGGGGCACAGGTGCTGACCAGCCTTACACTGAGTGCTGTGAGATGGGACCATGTCTAATACTAGACACCTGAATTGTATGCCTTCCTGTCTGAATTCCAGAAAGGGTTTGTTGTGAAGTATGCTTTGCTACTGTATTTTTTAAAAGTACTTTAGTATCTAAAATTAAGTGAATGAAAATACAGTTCTAGCTAGAGAGGTGGCCCAGCAGTTAAAGAACACTTCCTGCTCTTCCAGAGGACCCAGGTTCAATTCTCAGTACTCACATCAAGACTCACAATTGCCTGTAACTCCAGTCCCAGGGGATCCAACTTCCTCTTCTGGCCTCCTATGGCACCAAGCATGCACATGTAGACAAAACACTTATAAATAAATGAAAATTTAAAAAAGAAAAAGAAAAAACAGTTCTAAAATCTCAAGCCAAAATTATTGTGGAAATTCGTCTGAAGGGCTCACTTGGTCCTGTGTCCTTGAACTGAATATCATGGCAGCAGGGACATGTGGCAGAGGCTGTTCTTCACTTCTCAGAAGACAGGACAGAGATGGAGGTTTCGTGATATTATTTTTAGGATACATACCTTACCCTTCCTTTTAAAAAGGTATAGATTCCTCAGTTGGTTTTTATAGTTCTTTGCCCTCAACACCCGTTTTCTCTTTCAGTCTTTGCAAAACAAGAGCTATAATCACTTTGCTGCCATTTATTTCTTGTTGGTGGAACGTCTGAAATCACATAGGAGCAGTTTTCCTGTGGAGCAGAGACTTGATGGCCGCCAGCGCCGGCCTAGCACCATTGCGGAACAAACTGTTGCCAAGGTAACGGCCCATAGAGCCACTAGTCTGTCTGTGCTGTGCCTTTTTATGCTGGACACATTTTTCATCATTTGGTACAAAAGGTTAAGATCTCATCTTCTACATTGTTTTTCTAGAATGTTTCAGCCACTGCCATTCACTAGATTCTTAAAACTCTGAGCACCCTCTTTAAGAGATAATTTGTCATTTAATCATTTGCTAATCTTGCAAATTAATGTAACCAGCCTGTACTTTCAGTTCATTTAACAGAATTTTATTACAGATTGACCATGTGCATGCACTCTAGGAGTTTGAATGCATAGAACACCATCATGGTTCTCAGAGCTGTATTGTAGAAGCAAAATAAGATACAACCAGAATCGTCCTTCAGAGCAGATAGAGGTGTGAGAGTCTGATAGGGACGTACAATACTGAAGACATTCTGACTAGGAGGGGATGCACACAAGATGAACAGAGGTGTTCATACGGGCCGTTGTGGCCTTGTTCCTATTAATTCAGTCCATTTGGACTGAAGTCTAAGGAAATAAAAATTTGGAGTTTTAAGTGGAAGCCGTATTGTGAAGATCTCTAAATTCCAAGAATGACTTATAATTGAGGAAGCAATAATGATCTTATGAAGACCATAAGCCAGTTAGTATGGGAGCATTGGAATGGATGGCTTGGTAGGGAAGAGCTGGTGGGGAGGGGGGTATGTTGTTTGTTTTGAGACAGGATCTCACTAGCTGGCCTGGAACTTGTTATATAGACCAGGCTGGTCTCGAACTCACAGACATCCGTTTGCCTGTACTTCCCAAGTACTGGGATTAAAGGCATATGCCACCATGCTCAGCCTGGGAATAGCAGAAATTTTTGAAGAATGCTTACGAGATTCTTACACTAATTGAGATGCAGAATGCTGAAAACTTAATGTGGTGCTGGGAGGAAGGGAGGAAGGGAGGAAGGGCTAAGAAAGGTGGACCTATGTGAGCTTAGCACTGATTGGAAGTGCAGCTCCACTTAGTGGTTAAAAATGGGACACTGGAGCAATTTCCAAATTCTGTGCCTCATTTTACCTGTTCTAAAATGGGAATGACACTAAGTGCCATGACAGATGAGTTGCTATCTCTGAAGCCTGTAAACGGTACCTGGCACATAGCAAATGCCGAGTATCTGTTCCACAACAGTTAGAGGCAACATTCTCCTCGAAGGCCTGAGGGTACAGTGAAGACATTGCTTGGTGCTAGGGAGTGATGTGGTCTGAGAGGTCTAGGTCTCGTGTGTAGAGGCTGGGAAAGGAGTGGTGTCTTCCCAATAAGATGCTTGCCATGTCTGTAAGTAGCACTCCATGTTCAACAGAATTATAAATGTACAGGAATATAAGATTTTGCATTGGCTTCTACAGAACATGGAAAAAAGAATGAAAATCTTGATTTCTTTCTCCCAGGTGAATTATATATTTCTCTTAACTCTCTTACAAATAAAACAATGTCTCAGTACAAATGGAGGGGTCCTACACCAGTACAGCTCCCGACATTTGGATCAGAGGACTCCTGAGCACTTGAGAAGCTTCCCAGTTGAACAGCACTGCTTTTGGGCACGAGGGCAAGGGAAAAGAACTTCTGACTGGGTTGATAGCAGTGAGCTGTAGTGAGCCTTCCATACAGGTGTGGCCGGCAAATGACAGGAAGCAGAATGCCCTAGTGCAGGAACACACTTTCCCAGCTAAGTCTCTTCCCTCTTCTTAAATACTCCACAAGTGAGAGTGGGGAAGGGTCAGATCAGCAGTTGTTCCCAAACGCCAGTGTGTGTTGTTGGACAAGACCCTTTCCTATCTGCACAGTAAGCAAATCCCCGGACACCTCCGTTGTGTTTAGTGTGGCTTGGGGGCAGACGTGGAATGTCCGTGGCTTCTTTGTTTGTTCACCTTGTGTTTTACTGCCAAGCACAGCACGAGTTCTTTTCACTGTGTGCATTGACCCAGGTCGGCATCCAACTGTACATACTCTGACTTCATATGGGTCTCATTCTAACAGACGGCTTCCTAGCTCACATACTGACTTGTTGAAAGTACCTTCTGGACCCTAAAAAGGAGGTCCCACAGCTGAAGAAATGCTCCCTGCCCTCTGTTTTAGTGTGCCTTGTTTAAAAAAAAAACAAACTGATTTCTCTGTTTATTTGGATATAAATATGCTCAAAGTTTTAATAGAACTTCCTTGTTTTAATTCTTTAAATTTTCATTTAAAGAGAGTAGATCATTTGTTCCCTGGCATAGCAATAAACCAAACCAAACCAGGAAGTAGCATGATCTAATAATAGGTCATACAAACTATAGAATCCTGGAGACCTTGAGTTCTATATAGAGAGGAGTAGTTTTGCTCTGGTCAGCATTTCTGAGATCCTATGTCTATGAATATAAAAGGGAAGTAGTGCCTGCTTAGTAAGATTGCTGCCAAAAGAACATTAGTCAAGCTGTGGAAACAGTTGCACTCAGCGAAGTGCAGTTCTCATCAGCCAGGCAGTGTCGCAGCCACTGGAGTGCGCAGGAGCCAACCCTTGCTCATAAAGCAGCCGTTATTAGTGATGGAGGGCCCGTTATTATCTGTAGACAACAGTGAGCTGCTCACTGTGTGGGTGCCGAGTACTTTTCATTCACTGTGTATGTATCATGCCAGAAACTTTGCAACTGACCAGCTTCAGGCAACTATTTAAGAGAAAATAGAAAACTCTTACCTTTTTCTCATAAACCCTAAATTCCAGTTTCTTAACAATCTTTCTACTTCAAGTTTGTATCAGCTTTAAGCAGAAGAGAATGAAACAGTCATCTCTGCTCTTTAATTGCTCATTAGAGGTTGTTCCACAATCATAGGACAAAGCTTTATCTTAATTTCTTTGGACTGCCATAGCAAAATGCCATATCAGCATTTACATTCTCATGGTTCTGGAGGCTTAAAGCGTGAGATCTGGGTGCCCTCAAGTGAGTTTCCAACACAATCTCTCTTCTGGGCTAGTAGGTGGCTGCCTCCTGCTGTGTCTCTTCCTCTTCTTATGAGAATGCCAGCCTACCATGTAGTATGTGCCTGTACCATAGTAACGTTATCTCATCACCTTTATAATTTGAGAATACCTTTGTGTGTTGATAGCCATACTTATTCCAAAAGGGTATTTTTGACCAGTGCTGGGGATTGAACCCAGGGTTTTGTATGTCCTTGTCAAATCCTCAACCACATCACATCTCAGCTTCTGAAAGACTTCAACAGTCACCTCACACAGACTTGTAAAACATGGTTGTATTTCCTAGGATATATCACATCAAAATGTTATTCCTCTGTCCAAGGTCTTGGTCCGTTTCCATAGTCTCTCAGGTGTAAAAGTGGTTGAGGTGACCAGGTGTGATGGTGGGTGCCTGTAATCCTAGCACTGTGGAGAGGAGACCAGGTGTTGTGGTGTGCCTGTAATCTTAGCACTGTGGAGAGGAGACCAGGTGTGATGGTGTGTGCCTGTAATCCTAGCACTGTGGAGAGGAGACCAGGTGTTGTGGTGTGCCTGTAATCTTAGCACTGTGGAGAGGAGACCAGGTGTGATGGTGGGTCCCTGTAATCTTAGCACTGTGGAGAGGAGACCAGATGTGATGGTGGGTGCCTGTAATCTTAGCACTGTGGAGCCTGAGTCAGGAGGATTCAGGGGTCAGTGCCAGCTGGAACTCCAGAATAAGACCTTGTCTCCAAAAGAAAAAGTTGTCAAGAAAAATGTGTGCTTAATCTGACACAGCTCAGCTTACCATAAAGAGTCAGAATTCTAGGGAGACAGGACCAAGATAGAGAAGCCCAAGAAGGATGTTGGTAGAATAGCGGCTCCTTTATCGTGCTCAGATGATGTGTAGTGTTGTTTGCAGTTTCCCATCCACTCACTACTAACGATAGCTGTTGTTTTCTTCCTTGTTTCGTATCTCATGATATTAGTATCAGAATATAGCCTATACAAGGTATGTTTTAAGTATACTCAAATTTTTTAAATGTATAGTAAGAACATACCCCTTCCTTCTTAAAAATTATCAATTTAGCTGAACATGGTGATGTACATTTTTAATCCTAGTGCTTGGGAGACAGAAGCTACCAGATCTCTGTGAGTTCCAGCGGGCCTGGTCTACTTAGCAAGTTCCAGGGCTACATGGAGGGACCCTGTCTCAGAAACAGAAACAAACAACAAAAAAATTCAGCTTAAAATTCCAGCTGGAAGCAAAGAGACACTGACTGAGACCAGAACTTCATCCATCTTCCTGTCTGGTTGCTTTGTCCTTTGACCTTGGGGTCATTTTTTTTTTTTAAGATTTATTTATTATGTATACAGAAGAGGGATGCCTGGTCTCATTACAGATGGTTGTGAGCCACCATGTGGTTGCTGGGAATTGAACTCAGGACCTCTGGAACAGCAGTCGGTGCTCTTAACCTTTGAGCCATTTCTCTAGCCCCCAACCTTGGGGTCATTTTAAGACTGGAAGGGAAAGAGAAATTAACATTGCTAAGCTGAGGGCCTCAGCTTTCACCTTAACTTCACTATGCCCCTTTCAATCTTAACTTCTCTATGAAGTGGGTGTTACCCCATTTTTACAGGTATAGAAAAGATTCAGAGAAAGCTGGATTGCCTGATTAAAGTCATTGTTCAATAGGAAATGATAGAACCACCAGCCAAGCCCAAACCTCGAAAAAGAAATAGAATTTCATACAGTCTTCTGCTTTTGTTTGTCTGAATTTAGAAGTCACCATCCTCTATCCCTTGTAACTGTAACAGAGAAAAGAGAGGCTGTTCCTCTCCTGTTAGAATCTGGTATGATAATTGTCCCCTTGGATGTTTCACAGTGTCTATTATGTTCAAGATATATCTAAGAAGTGATTCTGCCAGTTCTTAAGGGCTGTGGATAGAAGGACCATCCAGGACCTTCAGTAAAATCAGTCATTGCCAGTTGTCAAAAGGAAAGACTCTTAAATGGTTTTTTTAAGAAGAGTGTGATCCTTGTTTACTTAAAGCACTTAACAAAGGAGACAGAAGAATGGATTGAACCACCCACAGGAAGCCAAGGGTGGCGGTGGCACATGCCTATAACCCCTGCATGTAAGAAAGAGGCAGAAACAGTAGGTCCAAGTTGAAAGGAGAGAAGAGCAGAAATGGACCCAGACCTCTGTGTAGCAGGCTGGTTTCAGGAAGAGGATTCTAGCAATAAGCATTTTTCCTATTGCTCCAGCAGGCTGTATTCAGACTGCACCTTCTCAAAGGAAGGGGACCTTCCTGTCACACTGAGTAACTGTTTCTCTCTTCTTCCTCTTCTCATGGGGAGAAGTTGGAAAAGACAATTACTTCAAGTACCTTCTTTATAGCTAGCTGTGGGGCTTGTGTATATCTGGCCTTGGTTCATTGTTGAGTTTCTATAGGCTAAGTGATTTCTTTTTTTTTTTTTTAATCTTTCAGTTAGTATATTTAAAGAAAGAAAAAAATAGAAGTTTATTGAATCGAGACAAATGTCATTCTTTGATTCCTTACAAAGGCTATCTTGTTGCCTGTGTGAAAGCTATATCTCTCATTATAAGACAGGAAACAAATTCTGTACAATTTATTTCAGAGTGTCTGATGATTGAGACTTAAATTCAGTGCTTACCATGCATTTGCATGCACACATACATACACACACAATCAAGTCTTTTTCTGGAGTTCCACTGAATAACACTTTATCTTTGAATTGCCTCAGGAAGACTTACTTAGTTCTAAGAGTGGTGTTGATGTGTCTAGAATAAGTAATAATGTTCCCACACTGTCTGTTCTTGACATATTTTCAGGCACAAACTGTGGGGCTCCCAGTGACCTTGCATTCCCCGAACGTGAGACTGATGCGATCTACCCTCCTCCCACAGGCAGCCAATGTGGAGGCCTTTTCATTCCCAACATCCAGCTGTCAAGCAGAAGCTGCCTTTATGGAGGAAGAGTGTGTGGATACTCCCAAGGTACGGCTGGTGTGCTTGAGATGAGTGCAGTGACTACAGACTTCAGTGTGGTGTACAGTGTTGTAGTGTGCTTTCACTGCATGTTGCTTTGGTGAAGAACCTTTTTAAAGTGTTCAAAGATCAGTTCTCATCAATTAAATTACAACTCTCAGGACACATAAGCCCTCTACTTTTTTCTAACCAGTTCCTCTTCTTTCCCAAGTTTAAGATTCCTCATAAGTGTTTGGGTACATGAGTGGATGGGTGGGTAGGTAGGTTGGTTGACCTTTATGATTTTAAAAACAAAAAGTGACCTGTTATGCTGAATTAGACTTCCTTATTGTTGCCTCTCTTCTGCACAGCAAACTGTAAATACAAAGTGATAGGATATCTTTTTGACTAAGTAAACATCCTTTTTGGTTCAGCTTGAGCATACTTAAAGAATTTACTTTGTATTTTGTGTATTGTATAAAATTGGCTGTTAGGAAATGGAAAGTGACTGCTTCTTTCATGCAATGAATTGTTGCTGACTTCTAATATAAGTGGTACATACTCAGTACCAAGTGCTATACGTTGTTATATGATCATATTAATAGGAAACAGTGTCATAAAAGAAGGTCTTGGAGTGTGTTAAACTGCTTTTTACTGAGCTATGTGAATTTGGACAAGGTGACTTTTACTTTCCTCTGTATAAAACAAGGATACCTGTTTTAGGAGACTGTTATGAGAATTAAGTAAAATAATCTATGTAGTTTAGGGTAGATTTTAAATAGTCAGCAAATAGTTTTCCCATGTTTTAAAAGCCTCTTTAGGTAATAAAAACATGAATCAGACATGAACTTGCCTAACAGCCTGCTAGCCTGTGGTCTAACAAAAAGAATATTATATGAAACTAAAACAACATGCCAGCTGCTGAATAAATTGATAACATGTCGCATAATGAGATATGACAAAGTGAACCTAGAAAAAGGCAGGGAGGCAGAGCCAGGCAGATCTCTGTGAGTTCGAGGCCTTCGAGGCCAGCCTGGTCTACAGAGCAAGATCTAGGACAGGCACCAAAACTACAGAGAAACCTTGTCTCAAAAAAAACAAAAACAAAAACAAAAACAAAAACAAAAAAACAAAAAGAAAGAAAAGAAAAGAATGAGGCAGGGGGATTTGATTTTTGTACTTGATCAGGAAAATTGGGGTAACTATCAGAGCTGGAGCTACAAAGTAGAGTAGAATCCACATGTCTGGAAACTAGGGTGGAATATCTTCAGTGAAGGGAAGAAGTGTTCAAAAGCAAGCTCTAGGTAATCAGGTTCATCTAAATCAGAGCAGTGGTTCAGTTTGAGGGAAAGGACACATAAGGGAAAACTGTAGAAGTAAAGGTGTATGTGTTAATTTTGAATGGCAAGCAAACAATTCAGGTCTCTAGGCTGTGTTCTAGGTGTGGAATGTGGGGAAGTATCATGTGATTCAGCTGGTGTGATAGTCAGACACAGCTGAAGGTTTCTGAGCAAGGAAACACTACCTGCATCCTGTTCTTGGAAATTTTGCCTGAATGATTCTCTAGCAGGCACAGGCTAGGGGACAAAAAAAAAAAAAAAAAAATGGGAGAGTAAGCATGGGTCCAGGAGGAAGATGATGCAGGACCTGAAATATGGGAATGAAATGGGAGACGAGGGGATGGTAGCAATGGTATTGGAAGGATAGCATTCCAAGCCTACAGCAAGGTTTTGAGCCTAGACAGATGGGATAGGAAATGCCAGTTAGTTGAGACCTCTAGATGTCAGGCAGATTCATAAGTTGCACGAGCCTAGCTGGATCACAGTGGCAGTGGCAGCCCCATGCCAGACTGTCAGAGCAGGTGTTAAGCCAACTTGCTGAACAGGAATAGCTACTGTCCAGCCCTAAAGATGAGTCTGCTTCCTGTAGACAGTGTTTTCTATGGCTTTGTTTGCTTAGCATTAAACATTAGGGATACATTCATGCTCAGCATTTAGACATTAATTAGGGCAGCATAATTCATTTTTAGGATCTAATTCTCTTGAAGAAATTAAAATGCAGTGCAGTCTTGTCGGTAAGGGCACCAGGCCCAAAACACAGATTGGGTACTGTCTGCTATAATATATAGGGCAAGCTATTTTTAAAGCTCATGATTGTTACAGTTACTAGGAAACAGACAGGAAATGAATGGTTTTGCAAGAGATATAGACAGTTGCTAGATGGTATATTCTCATTTATAGGAATAAGAGTGTCAAACTGGAACTGGCCCACACTGGCAATTCCACCCTGAAATTTCGACAAGCCATAAACATCCACAGGACTTGTCCTTCCAACTACCTCTTTCTTTGAGGCACACACAAAAGAACCTTTCAGTTCCTTTGTTCATATTGCTTCATATACATTCGCTATAACCCAGCTGTTTTCTGAAAGATACATCATAGCTGTATGTATTGATAATTTCATTTCTGCTTGCAGTCAAGGACTAGTACTCATTTAAAAACATCACCCTTCCTTCCCTTAATTGTTAGGAAAATCCCTTAAGGAGTCTGTCTTGAAACTTTGACTTGCAATTTCTGGGGCAGGAGGGGAAGGTGTCTTTCTGAGAAGTAACTGAATCCCTAAGGACCCTATAGGGCCCATAGAGGGAAGACAGTTGCACAAACTGTGTACAGTAACTCTCCCATGTACACAGTTCAGTCCATTTGTGACACTGTTAGGGACTATAATAAAAAGATTTCCAAGTTCACACCTTCACTAGCTGGTTGACAAACCTGTAAGATAAACCTTGAAAATGCAAGTGTGGTGGAGGCATTGCGTGTCTCATTGCACCTTAATACCCTGCATTATGAAAGTGGCAGACGTGAGGGAAGGTCGGAAGGGCAGACACACCAGAACCGTAGTGGTGTTAACCTCTAGCGGCTTCGGGAGAAATTTCACTTTCACTTCTGAATTTAAAATTTTAAACTGTAATTTGAAATAAAAACAAAAATAAAACTGTCATAATCATGCATGACAATATGAAGAGAATGAAGATAAAATTAATTGAGCTATAATCTCACTACTCAAAGATAGTCTATTTGATGTCCTACTATAAATTGGTGGGTAAGGAATAAGGCTTACTGGATGGGAAGACTCTTAAAATTATTCTCTATTATGTGTAATTTTCTTATCTTCTGTATCTAACAGTATATCATGAGAATTTTTCCCAGTCGTGACGTAGTCTTTGCAGGCATAAGCCTTAGCAATTATGTGATCCATTGCTTTATACATCTCTCTCTTTAACTAAACGCTGTAGTAGGCTTTTGCTTTTGGGCCACCAACCAGCTCCCAAATCATGACATGGAGATTTCATATTAGTTGTGAATGCTCAGCCTTAGCTTAGGCTCATTCCTTGCTAGCTCTTATAACTTAACCTGTTTCTCTTCATCTGTGTTTTGCCTCAGGGCTCTTTACCTTTCTTTCTTTCCTCCTGTACATATCACTTTCCTGCTTCTCATGTCCGCTGGCTGGCAGCTGCCTGGCTTCTGGCCCTGGGTGTCTCCCTCCCATTCTCCCTCACTCTCTTCTCTCCTCCTTCCCTCTTTTTCTACTTGAGCCTAGATTTCTCCTCCTGTTTATTCTCTCTGCTCACCAGCCCCACCTGTCCCTCACCTGCCCAGCTGTTGACCATTCAGCTCTTACTAGACCAATCAGGTACCTTAGGCAGGTAGGGTGAAACAAATGCAACACATCTTTACACAATTAAACACATGCAGCACAAACAAATACAACACACCTTCACACAGTTAAAGTAATATTCCACAGCATAAACAAATGTAACACGTCTTTGCCTAGTTAACGTAATGTTCCACAACAAAACACCTCTTTTGAACACAGCTTTTTCTTGCATCCTTAAATAGACTTATGGTAGATAATTTTATGTACAGATCTTTAATTACTATGCCATATTATTTAAGAATACATTTCTAAGCCAAGTATGAGTGCACATATAACCAGCACTGAGTAGAAGGAGGCAAGAGGACAGAAGTACAGAGGTGCTCGGGGCTCCATAGCAAAGCAGCGTCTTTAAAGGAGTTTTCTAGCATTGTTGTGATTCCTTTCTTTCCTTCTTCACCTGTGTAATCTGCCTCAAGGCAGGAAAAAAATGTGTGTGTGTTTTTAAGTGTTGTAGTTTATTTTTATACTTTCTTACTGAAAAGCACTCCCCTTTGTTTAAAAAAAAAAAAGTGTATTGTAAAGGAACTATATTTTTTCTAAATTATGTTAGTTGATTCTCAAAACAACTTTACAACTATTTTACAAGTGAAAACAAAAACAAAAACAGAGCTTGGTTAGAGCCTAAGCACCTTAACTTGCAAATGATCAAGTTCAGGTTTGAGCCTACAGTACCTGCTCAACATGTGCCACATTTGCCAGACACGTGGAATGCAATTCAGTAAGGTCCATTTCTCTGCCCCAGACTCATGGCTTGTATATGCTTGGTGGACTGTATGAACCTGCTCACCTGCCCACAAAATACCATAGGGTAAGGAGCTTAAACACCAGAAAGTTTGTTTCTCAGAGTTCTGGAGGCCAGAGGGCAAGACAGTGTTAGTTCCAGCTGGTCCTGTTTCTGACGAAGTCTCCCTCCTGTGCTTTAGATGGCCACCTTCCCACTCTGTCTTGAGACATCACATAGCTTTTCCTGTGTACCCAGGGGCAGCTGAGAACAAGCTCTCTGATGTCTATTCTTTTTCACTGTTTTTGAGACAGTCTCACTGTGACGCTCAGGCCAGCCTCAAACACTTAACCCCCCTGCCTTGGCCTCCTCCTGAGTGCTGGGACTACAGGTGTGCGCCACCACGCCTGGCTTCAGGTGTCCTTCCTTCTTGTATGTGTAATTATGGGCATGTGTGTCTGGAGGTATGAGCACAGGAGTGTTGGTGCCCACGGAGGTCAGAGGGGTCAGATTCCCTAGAGTTGGAGTTACAGGCAGTTGTGAGCCTCTTGACATGAGGGCCAGGAACCAACCTTGGGTCATCTGCAAGAGCAGTAATGTCCATCTTGGCTGCTGCTCTGTCTTCTCTGCAGCCCTCCATGTGTCTTGTCTTAGAAAGATACCAATCCTATTGGGTCAGGGCTTCCCTCACTTACAGGCCCCATCTTCAAGTAGAGTCACTTTGGGAATTAAGGCCAACAGAGGAATTTAGAGAGGCGGGCTCAGGGGCTTTGAGTCAGTGCTGGGGCCTCTGAGGGCACTGACTGCTGGACGTGTGTCATCTACTACATACGAGGTCTCTGAAAAACAAAGGGTTACATTTTGCCCACATCTTGATAGCCTGGCATTTACTCTGTCTAAAGTATTTCTAGAGCATAAATCCTTACTTCTCGAAGCTTATATAATTTATGTAGATTAGCCCAACATTTTAGTCATATATTCTTATATGTCTAGTAGATGGTTAAGGGGCTTAGAAGTGAATTCTCAGTCCTTCTTCCTCACAGGATGACAGTGAAATACACTAAAAGGGAGAACTTACCTGGTTTCTCTTACTGTCAAGTCACTGGGTAAATTGGATGGGTGCTGTCCTGGTTAGTTTTTTGTCAACTTGACATAAGGTCAAGTCATTTGGTAAGAGGAAACCTCAGTTGAGAAATGCCCACACCAGATTGACCTGTGGAACATTTTTTTATTAATGATTGATGGAGGAGGGCCCAGCTCACTGGAGGCCATCCTACCCCTGGGCAGGTAGCTGGATGTTATAAGAAAGCAGGCTGAGCAGGCCATGGGAGCAAACCAGCAAGCAAAACATTCCACTGTGGCTTCTGCTTCACTTCCTGCCTTTAGGTTCCTGCCTTGGCTCCCCTCAGTGGACTGTGCCCTGGGATATGTAAGCCAAATAATCCTTTCCTCCCCCAGTTACTTTTGGTGTTTTACCACAGCAATAAAAACCCTAGCTAAGCATGATGGTCAGCTGCTTCAGGAAACCTCCTTGTGTCCAAAGGTGCTCACCCGTGTTGACCCTGAGCCACCCCCATGGGCTTTCTTACAGATTCTCCAGCCCCCAAGTGTTGTTTTTCTAACTGTCCCCAGATGAAAAGTCAGATCAGTGAAAAATCCAACCATTGCTGTATACCTGGAAGAGACTTTATTCAGACATAATTCCTCTTGTGGTTTAGATGAGACAATAAGTTTACAAGATTATAAATTCACAGGGAGCTGGCTGGTTTGGCTAACGTAGGACAAGGTGACTTCTGTGCTGAGGGAAAAAAGAGCTTGCTCATACTGCCTACACCACAGGGGGTGGGAGGGGCATTTGACAAAGACTGCACATATAAGTGTGCTCAGGAGTGATTGCTTTAAAAGGTCTTGGGAGCCTTAGCAAGCTGACAGTTGACAGCTCAGGAGCCTAGAATAAGAGTTGTTGGCCATTCTTTTCTGTAAGAAAACTATTAAATACAAAGGAGACGTGTATCTGGCCTGGGCCAGGAAGAGAATGACAGCTGCTGGCCAGATTGCAGATTTCCCGGTTTCTGTGCCATGGGAGAATTGTGTGGTCTGGGAGAAAGCATCGGCCACGTATCAGCTACCTTACCAACATGAAGGCTCTAGCCCCAGATGCTTGTGGAATCAGCTCCTCCAAACAAACAGAGCTCTGAGTCACCCTCTCCCTCTCCAAAAAAAAGGGCCTTGCAATGCCTTCGTTGACTGCCCAGAGCAGTTCCTCGTCACTTCTCACAGATATGAGCTGCCCCTGCTTCAGTGGAAACAATAGTTCTACCCAATGTGTTCCAATTGAAAGTACCACAGAGAGCTGACTTCCTTTGCTGGCTGCTCCTGAGCAGCTATTCCTAGGAGAAAGCGGATTGATTTCCACAGGGGAATAGTTAAAGTAATGAGGTAAATAATTGCCTGTTCTTTGGGGCTTTTACCAGCCAGAACTTGAAACCACAACTCCCCTTTGTGTGCTGTTTCGCTGTCCATTAGGTGGTTTGCTTGGCAACTGTGTGGGAAGGCAGTGTGCTCATTCAGGGTCTGTGCCGAGCTCTCCCTGGGAGACAGGCACCGTCGACGTTGTGTGAACTGCTAGTGGGTGAGGATGCCGTGCCGTGCACTGGGGCTGATTAACCTCTGCTGGAATTTTGAGCTGTGAGTCATTTGTTATTCTATAATGGAAGGTTTTGGCTGTTTGCCATTTGAATTTTTTCAATCCTTTTTGTGGTATCTGTCTGTCTACAACTAATTCTTACTTTCCACTCCTCAGGCACATTAGAACCAGTTTAAAAACAAAATACCAAATAGTTGAGTACTTAAGTTGTGAATACAAAAGGATACCCAGAACCAGTATGTTTTGTGGTTGATAATTAGAGTGTCAGTGACTGTTCTCTCTCAGCTATGAGACATTTGCTCTAGAAGTGAAAAGTTGTTCATCTTTTTCTTCTGTTTTCCTTATTTAAAAAATAATAATGACTGGTAAGCCTCAAGCCAGCACATCCTGTTCATCTGGAAACCACTGAAAAGGTAGTTATTGTAGCAATGACTCAAAGTGACCTGGGTGGCGGTGCCAATTTGGGTCCTCGGGGGCTTCTGTCTCTGGGCGCTCTAGTTGACTCGCCGCCATTTCTGACGTCTGTGCTGCCATTGGGAGTGAGTGCATACACTGGAATAGTTTACTTTTTCTCTCACTTGCCTGAATTAAGCCTGGCCTGGTTTTCTGCTGTGGGTGTCCCTCAGCAGAGCAGCAACTGAGCTTCCTCTCACACTGACAGGTGAATGGCTGCCTGCTTGACCCTGTGCCCCCTGTCCTGGTGAGGAAGGGATGCCAGTCACTGCCCAGCAATATGATGGAGACCTCCATTGATGAAGGATTGGAGACAGAAGGAGAGGCCGAGGAAGATCCCAGTCAGGCCTTTGAAGCTTTCCAGGCCACACGGAGTGGGCAGCGACGGCACACTCTGTCAGAAGTGACTAACCAATTGGTTGTGATGCCTGGGGCAGGTATGGTATCAGAGAAGCACCAAGTTAAACCCTTACAGCATCCTTTCATACTTCAGGCATCAAGAAATAGCGGCCATTCTCACCAAGTTCTGGAATTTCATGCAGCTGCCCTTCCTTTATGGAGCAGATCCATGGACTCTGTGGATTAGGTCTACACAACAGCTGACAGAGATTAAAAAGCAATGTCTCTGAGTTGATTCCCTCCACTCCAGGATGCCTTGGATACGGTGTGCTTCATAAGGGATTATGGCTCTCTTCAAGGCCAAGATCTTATGGCTATAGTTTCCATAATGTTTTCCTTACCAATTTTGAAGATGCTTAAACCAACCAGTAAAAGCATTGTGGAAAGATGGGGGTTGTTTGTGGTGCTGGAGAGCACATTAGGCAGCTCCTCTGCCCCTGAATTACACTTAGGATTCCCAGCCCTGAAAAGAACTTATCTTTTAGGTGAGTTTTCTGTTTTCCAGACTTGTGAGTACTCCAGTCCTCTTGCCCATCCTGAAAGATGCGGCTGTCAGGATTAGAGTCTGCCATTTTGTCTTGCTTTTTGTTAGCGTGTTTAAAGAAGCTATTGGTTTGGGTAATATCTGTTATTTTTTTCTACAGGGAAAATTTTCTCTGTGAGTGACAACCCCTCCCTTGACAGTGTGGACTCTGAGTACGATATGGGGTCTGCTCAGAGGGACATGAACTTCCTGGAAGACAGCCCTTCCCTGAAGGACATCATGTTAGCTAATCAGCCTTCACCCCGCATGACATCTCCTTTCATAAGCCTCAGACCTACCAACCCAGCCATGCAGGCTCTGAGCTCGCAGAAACGTGAGGTCCACAATCGGTCCCCTGTGAGCTTCCGAGAAGGCCGCAGAGCATCAGACACTTCCCTTACCCAAGGTGAGTGCTTTCTTTTCTGGCTTTGAAAACTTCAATCAGAGGTATGGGAGAAGGATGTTGCCTTGCTAGTGTGAATGTATGATAACCAGAAGGCCTATTTTGCTTCTTAAACTGTTTGATGTTTGTACTTTGCAGGAATTGTAGCGTTTAGACAACATCTTCAGAATCTTGCTAGAACCAAAGGAATTCTGGAGTTGAACAAAGTACAGTTGCTCTATGAACAAATAGGATCAGAGGCGGACCCTAACTTAACATCAGCTGCTCCTCAGCTCCAAGACCTCTCTAGCAGCTGCCCTCAGGTGAGTATACAGGCTCTTCCCAACACCACGTTCATCCTATAGATGTATGGTTCTCAGTTAGAGAGCTTTCTTCTAGTCCTAACTAAATTGGCTTTATGGGAAAGCCCCAGGTCTCAGAGGTTTTCTTGCTGCTGTTACTAACAGCTTAAACCCAACCATGCTGCTCCTAGGTACTCAGCACCAGACAGAGGCCTACAGGCGCAGTCTAGTTTGGGTTCCCAAAACAGGCAGATTATAGATGGATGACTCAGTCTCCCCTGACACACACACACACACACACACACACACACACACACGATGATGATGATGAGCATCAACCAAATGAGAAGCTCCTTGCCATTACTCTTGATGTGAAATCACTACTGCATATGAAGAATCGTCACATTAAAAAGACAACAAACATCACTATTCTATTCTTGAGCCAGTGTTCAGAGCCCACATGTAGGTAAGCGCCTTCTTGTGATGCCACACAGGTGCTTTTGTTCTAATTCTAATACTGACTAGGTAATAGTTGAGTTACTAACTTTGTATAAGTGGCCTTCAACCTACTAGTTAGGTAAAACCTTTTTTGGGTATTAGGTCATGTGGAGCCAGATTTCACTCAGTCATTTCAAAGGTGCTTAAACAATGAATTGAAACTTTCTCACATAGAAATTGTAATGTCCACTGCCTTGATCCTTAGGAGGAAGTCTCTCAGCAGCAGGAAGGTGTCTCCACACTCTCTGCCAGCATGCATCCTCAACTTTCTCCACAGCAGAGCTTGGAAAGCCAGTACCTACAGCATCGACTCCAGGTGGGCTCCTTAGCACTCCTAGTTCAGCTGCTTTGTCACAGAAACCTCTTCGCATTATTTAAGGGTGCTGCTTTATTCCTTATAGGCAGGCAGATTTAACCCTATATTAGTAGTTTCTAGAAACATGTTCAGACTTAGTTTTATACCCTGTATTGATAGTAGGAAAGGATATGCCACTGAGTACTAAAAAAGAGAAGCCTGGCTTGTTTCTAACTTTATATTTGTGAATAATAAGACGGGATCATTAATCTACAAAATGGTAACAGGGCCATCTATACTGGTGCATGAAGAGCCTAAGAAATGATATGACATGGATCCCATTCAGAACGAATCACCCAGCAGGCACTGGGGCTTCCTGTCAAGAACTAAGTCTGGTTTCTCATTGTTTTCCATGGACCTCCCCGTCCTGGAGGAATTTCACAAGTGGAGAACAAGTAGGCCAGAACCAGATGCTGAGGCCTGCTGACCTGATGATGTTCTTCCAGGGTCTTAGTGAACAAGTAGGCCAGAATCAGATGCTGAGGCCTGGCACCTGATGCTCTTCCAGGTCTTAGTGAACGAGGGTCAGTGCCTTCACTCTGGATATACTGGCCAGACAGGCATCCAACTGATAGCATATGGTTAGACTCTTGTTGCTTTTCTGATCTTCCAGAAGCCCAATCTTCTGCCAAAGGCCCAAAATACTTGTCCAATATATTGTAAAGAACCACCTCGGAGCCTGGAACAGCAGCTGCAGGAACATAGGTAAGGAAGTCTTGGGCTAGTAAAGTCAGTTGTTTCCATGGCAGCCTGGAGAAGGCTGGTGTATTTTCCTTTCCATTCTAGCTGCGTCTCCTAGGACCATGCACTGGTACCAGGTCCTTTTCTAGTCAGGCATGGTGTCATTGAGGCGGTTGAGAATCCTAGGGTATAAATCTGTCAGGCGACTGCCACCCCCCCATGCACTTTGCCATGTCTTTGCATTTCTCTGGGCTATGATCGGCTCTAAGATTTCAGAAGCAGTAGCCTGAAGCAGTCGGTCACACTGATGAGGCTTTCCCCTTGGTAGTGGTCATGCCTGCTGCTCCAACCAGTAGAAGCTGCTTGGCCAAGGTAAAATTGACCTAATCGTCACCCTACCTGGACACTCACAGAGGCCAAGACGTTATCTTTCTCTGAGCAATCTTCATGAGTAATTAGTTTCTCTAGAGGGAGAAACTTGAGAGAAAATGCATTAGTACTTATTTACCTCAGAGGCCAGTCAAATAGGGGCAAACCCCACAGTGGTGAATTACTGATTTTCCCCCTTGCATGGGAAAGAGAGAGATGGCAGATGAGGGTGTCAGGTGTGCTGGTGCATGCCTGGCATTCCTAGCACTCAGGAGACTAGGTCGGGAAGATCACAAGTTTGAGGCCAGTCTGGACTGTATAGAAGATTCTCAGAAATAAAACAGAAAAGAAAAAAAGAGAAAGTGAAGTTAATGCCTGCCTGGTATTGAATTTACATTGAATTTACATTCACTTGAGATGTAAAATGCTCTTTTGGTGTTACCAATTTAGGCTCCAACAGAAGCGACTCTTCCTCCAGAAGCAGTCTCAGCTGCAAGCATATTTTAATCAGATGCAGATAGCAGAGAGCTCCTACCCTCGACCAAGTCAGCAGCTGGCTCTTCCCCACCAGGAGACACCACCGCCATCCCAGCAGCCCCCACCATTCAGCCTGAGCCAGCCCCTGAGCCCAGTCCTCGAGCCCTCTTCTGAGCAGATGCAATTTAGCCCTTTCCTCAGCCAGTACCGGGAGATGCAGTTGCAGCCCCTGCCCTCCGCACCCAGCCCCCGGGCTCCCCATCCCTTACCCTCACAATTGCAGCAGCCACCCCCACCACCCCCTCCTCCTCCACCTCAGCAGCCAGGAGCTGCTCCAGCCCCCTTACAGTTCTCCTATCAGACTTGTGAGCTACCAAGCACCACCTCTTCTGCACCAGACTATCCTGCTCCCTGTCACTATCCGGTGGATGGAGCCCAGCAGGGCAACCTCACGGGCACGGACTGTCAGTCCAGGAGCTCAGGACTTCCGGAGACCCCATCCAGCTACGACCCGCTGGCCCTCTCTGAGCTCCCTGGACTCTTTGATTGTGAAATGCTAGAAGCTGTGGATCCACAACACAATGGGTATGTCCTGGTGAATTAATCTCAGCACAGGAAGTAAGGTGGCTCTAGTGAAGGCAGACTCTGTTTATATTTTTATTCCAGCCCTTTAAATTTAAAGCTGATTTTTTTTCCCTTTTCCCTAATGGGGAAAAATCAAGTTTCCCAACTGGAATCAGGATTTGACTAGGGTAGATGTTCCTCTCGGCTCTGTCCCACAACAAAACTGTCTGTGGCAAGGGCTAGAACATAGTTGGGAGCTGAAGCGCATGCCTGTAGATGAAGTGGAACAAGCTCTCACGGGGGACCAACAACTGTTTGTATAGAATGACAACACAGACCCAGGTTTGCACCCGCTCGTGTCCGAGGAAAGCCTTGGTAAAAGCAGGAGCAATGTGTATATTGCATATATACACACAGGGAAAAAGAAAAGGCAGTATATTTCACTAAAGCCAAGCAACAGCAAGGTGCTTCAGTGCATGTCGAGAATACGTCATGAAACCCGATGCACAGGGAGGAGAGGAAAGCTGTGCGTTGTCACAGAGTCCTAAGTTCTTGGTGCAGGGTGTCCTCAAGACTGTCACACAGTGGGGCCTGAGGTGTGTGTGTTTCAGAGACACCAAGTAACAGCTGACACTGACCCCTGAAACCTTGCAGTCATCTTTCTGGGAGCACGTGATAACGCCTTTTCAAAAGTACCCCTGGGAGCCGAGTGTTAAAATACTCAGGGCTCCAGAGCTCTCACCTATAGAGAGAACAGGAGCGTCTCTATAGGTCCCAGTGGAGGTGGAAGCAGAAACCAGAAAGCACCAGGAAGTTGGGCCCTGAGCCGGGAAGCCAGGCTCTTCTGCACAGGCTGCAGTCTCCAGAGACCTGCTGTCTGCTACACTGTAGTAATCCCTCTGGCTCTCCACTCTTGTTAGGCGCTGTGGAGCTTTGCAGAGTTGGTAATTTCGTGTAGGGTTTAGATGTTTCTAAGGGTACACAAAACTGGACTTTCCTGGACTTCCCCTGTGAAGTGAGTGGTAGTGCTGTGCCTTCCCCACCACGTCCAGCTCCCTTTTCTCTAGTTTTCCGTTTATGGCCTTGCTGAATCCAAAGTCACTTCAGTATGTTTCCACCAGGTGGGAATCAGAATTCTTCACCTCAAGGTTTTGATTTGTGTGAACTGTTCAAGTTTTATAGCAATATTCAAAGAACCACAGATGTGTTAGCCATATACTAGAAAAGCTTAACCCTTGAATTCAATCATCAAAGGAACTGAAAAGTAGATGCTATAGCTAGTCAACTAGATAGCGAGAAGTAATTACTAGTAATCTGTCATTTGCACAGTGACATCTAGGTGTTACAAACTCAGTATTATTTATAAAATTATAATTTCTATTCTTTAGAGTGGCTTGTCCTATCAGCAGATGAATTCACTAAGCACAAAGCGTCTTCCTTAAAGCACAAGAAGAGAGAGCTACTGCACTGATGCTGCATCTAGAAACACCTATAAGTTGCCTTTCCTCTCGGTAGTAAGTGTCCAGGCAGGCAAGGGAAGACTAGGCATGGGAAGTCTACGGAGAGCCACCTGGCCACCAGCCCAGCCCTGCCCGTGGCGGTGATGCGATGTCTTTGAGGCTGGCCAGAGACTGTAGCTGTTGGGCCCCCACTGGTGCCAGGCTGCTCTGCAAACCACTCGCTCTGCTTGGAGTTGGGCTGTGGGTGTCAGCACGAATGGATAGCAGGAGGGACTGTCATTTTTGTGATTTAACTGAAAATCCAGTAAGGATAAATTGTGTTTCTTTATTGATTCTGTTCCTCCTCGTGCGTAAGATCGATGATTTTGTGAGATAAAGAACATCATTTCATTTGAGAGATCATTTCATTAAGATCTCTAATATGTTTTAAAGCTTTACAACATAAGCCAGCTATAAAACGGGGCTTGATTTGTTTAGACTGGAGGAGGATGTTTTCCCAAAATATACTGCAGAAGCGCTGTAATATTGACGAAATGAAAATGCCTTCCAGATTGAAAATGGGGGCCGCTCATTTCAGGACTGCAGGAACAGCACCGCTACAGATTGGCATAAACCCCTGCCCCCCAACAGGGCTGTGAGCTGCTCAGCCCAGGAGACCTAGCAGCTATGGCAGGACAGGTAGGCGACAGATGAGGGCTGCGGAGAGGCTGTCAGAAGGTTCAAGGCTGCGGAGAGAAGCCGGGAGCCCCCGTCAAGAGCCAGCCTCGTCGGCACTGACACTCAGAGCGGAGGGGAGGACAGTCGCCTGGGGAAGAACACCAACCATCCTGCTGGATCCTGTCGTCAGCTCCGGTTCGCTCCTCTCACTCCTTCCAAGTAGAAACCCCTAACTCCACAGCTACCCTTACTTCCCGAGATGGAGCTGGTAAGAGCAGATGAGCCCTGGTGGTCAGCTCATCTGATTGCTTCTGTTGCTGTCCCCTAACTAGTGACCGTGGAAGCTTCCAAGCCGTTTCTCCTCACAAGTCCTAAAGTAACACTAAGAAGGCTTAGGCCCACTCTTGCTGAGAGGCATCTTTGAAATACTGGCGTGCTCACCTGTCAGTTCACATCAGCAGTGTGCACACTACTGTATAGTAAGTAACCCTTAGCTTTGTTACGTTGTAAACCAGCCTCTCCACAGAGGCTGGTGATTCAAACAGGAGGTAAAATTTGCATTCAGCAAAAAGTACAATCTGTGTGGTACTTTTTTATTTTTGGTTCTGGGCTTTGGTTCCCCAGGGTGTCACTCTCTGCTTTGGGGGAAATGCATTAGTTCTGCAGTCTCCAGTTGTGCAAGTGTATCTCTAGTATTTACATGCAGCTGACATGCTGGTGGTCCCTGTAAGGCAAACAGAGGTGTTAATACAACAGGAAGACCATGGGTTGTGGGGTCCCCCTCATCTATTCCCAGGGAGCTGTCTGGCCAGCACCAACCCTCACCCTGCCCTGACTTGGCCCGTATAAACTGCCTTCCCACCACCTTGGGAACAAAGACAGGGCAGTTTTGTGCCCACCACCCTCCAGAATCTACCCAATGGGAGATAGTGAGGCCCCAGGAAAAGCCTTTGGGACTGATGTAAGCTGGTCTGAGCAAAGCCCTTCCTTTCGCTTTGCATCCTGGGAAAAAGAAGGCCAAAGTCCCTCTATCTCAAGACATCAAGATGAGAAGTGTTTAAATCCTGGCCTGATGTTGGGGAGGTAGGACTTAAGCCTTTGCCTGCCACGCTCCCTCCAAATGTGTTTAGTTGAGTCTGCATTGTTACAGGGCCCCCGCCCCATACCCCTAGTCCCACCCAGCCTGTGGAGCCATCCCTCTGCCCTGCCCCAGAACTCCAGCACTAGGGTACTCAGCAAGGACTCATCACAGGCCTCTACCTGTACCCCAGGAGCCATTATACCTAAGGCAGGGAGGGGTACTAGGACTGGAGAAGAGGGAGTGTTCTCTGCTGGAAGATGACAAGATGATGAGCCAGAAACTGAAGAAACCCAAAAAGTAGCAGCTCCTAGGGTCCCAAGTGTGCCAGCAGCAGCTCAGGACGTGGGGACCCAGTGGGCTCTCCTTCGTCTGTGGGGTTCTCTAGCCTCGAAACAAGCCTGTTTCTCACATCTGTGAGAACCAGCATTTCTCTGCTCTGATTACACACTGACACTCACATCAACAGTAAGTTAAGCTCTCTGTTGCTTTAAAGAAAATTCACAGTCCCCGTGGCTTTTTCCCATCCCTCCTCCTTTAGACAGTATGGGGTGTCATTTGATGACACTGGCCCCAGTGGGCAGTTGCAGAACCCCCGTGCCAGGGCTGACCTTTGCTGCGTTTGTACCCCTAAGCTGGGCTGCCTCTACTGCCTCCTCGGAAGCCACCCGAGCCGCTCGGTCTCTCTGTGCCTAGACATCAAAGGTAAAAACTGGAGAACAGGTAGTAAGTTGGAGTCATTGCCCAGGCAGGGATCTTTATCATTTTGTTGCTTCTGGAAATTTTTTACAGAACTTACCTTCAGAGTGATTTGTGGGGGAAAGAGCAGTCTCATCGGCCTGGTTTCAACACTGGACAAAACACACTTCAAAACTTTCTCTCTCTCTCTCTCTCTCTCTCTCTCTCTCTCTCTC